CCTTTGACTTGACTGAAAGAGGAACTGCCTAAACGCCTCAGTTTTCATTATTGCTGCTGTAAAATATGGAGGAACGACAGGAGAATGAGTCTAAGAATGGTGACACTGGGTCATGTCCATCTCTGGCACTGGTCCCAGCAAATGCCCAGGGAAGAGTACCTATACTAGAGTATAACAGAGTGTAACAGAGCAAGTACATATGAAACCTTCCTGCCCCTCATGGTGTCCCCCCAGCCTCTCGCCACCTTCAGCTCAGGGCAGTGCCTCTTCAGGCAGTAACAGGGCTGCTGAGAAAAGACACCGTAAAGGGTTGTTTCACCAACCGATTTGGTACTTTGGCTGGCTCCACATTTCTGTTACGTCCGAAGGACACAGTCCTGTTTGTCCCACCTGTGCAGGGAAGCCCTGGGTTTGGCCCTAGTTTGTTTTCAACACAAAAGCCATCCTGATTGCAAGAGACATCCCCAGAACGGTTTAAAGTCCTTTGCAATTACTGAATCTTGTAGTGCAATTACTAACACACCGGCCGAGACTTAGCTAAAGCTCAGTTCCTGGGAAGAATGGGTCTTCACTGAAAATATCCTAATACCAGCCAAGCGCTGGCACCCTCCATCACTCACTACAGCTTTTCAGGCATCCATAGCCACATCTCACAGCACAGAACAAGCACCTTTCTCAGGATGAGACACAGATACTGCGCCGCACTCCCAGAGCAACTCTTCCACTAAGTCTCACAAACCTCTGGTGAGTTAAGGACAGGAGCAAGGCAGGCCGCAAAATACTTTCCCAAGGACCAGCTGGAGCTCTCAAAACTTTGTCCACTCTCCCATTTATACCTGAGCCACTGATACATAAAAACAGCAGAGGCATTCCAGGAAATAGGATGAGATCAGGCAGTGATGGATAAAGCATGGAGTGGAAAGCCAGTTCTGGAGAAGGAGAAATAAAAGATGGTCCAAAACAGTCAAAGAAACTTCACTGAAAAAGAGAAGGTAAAAGTGGAAGAATAAATGGCATCAGAGACAAAATGGGATTGCACATGCCAAAGGCTTGCAGACTCTTCTCTTCCATATTCCCCTATCTTTCTCCCAAAAAGCAATCGCTGTACTAGAGGGTAGGGCATGAGCTGTGTGTAGCCTGCTTTCCTAAGGAGAGAATTTGTACCTTCCAAAAAAAAAAAAAAAAAACTAAAACCAAAAAGAAAAATAGTGAGAACTAGATGGCATTTATTTCCTCTTAAAAGAAAAAGCAACTGACTAAATGTTTCCAATTTACAGTCATGTTAGGAGAACATAAACATACGTCTGGTCAAGAGACATTGGAGTTAAAAGGACCACACTGGCACCAGATTTGTGGAATGCCTGAGTGAGAGCAGAGCTGGTACTACTGGCTGCACCGGCACTGCTGCCGAGTACCTTCTCAGCTCATAGCCTCTTGGAGCGAGGCTGCACGGGGACCTGAAATAGGAAGCTCCCAGTGTAACACATTGCACTGAAGGTCAAGGATAGCATCTAAAATGCACATCCTTCAACAGCCCTTTCATTTTTCTCCCAGTGGCCTTATCTGAAGACCTTGACCACTCGAAGCAAATGGCAAGTCTTCTATCTCATCGGGCTTTCGATCAGGATACATGTTGTTACAAGGGCAGTTGTTGGAATGTGCCAAATTTTTTACAGTCCAAGAGTGTGTAATATTGGATCTTTTACATTTGTACGTTAAGAAAAAAAAATCTGAAGCCAGGTGAGCCCTACAAGATGTGGCATGGCCATCATGAGGAATGGCAACATCAAAGAAAAACAAGAAATGTAATTTCTGACACAGATGATGATACAGAAAAGACCAAGAAGATGTTCTGACAAGCAGTAGTTACCCAGCGTTCCTGCTTCCACAGAAAACTCTGGGATCCCTTTTGCTGTGCACGAACAACAAAAGAACTGGCACCTTTGCAAGTCTAAAGTAGGGCTTCTGTAAGATTACAGATTTCTGGCAGGTTAAGACCCGAATACTCATGGTTCATACAAACCCTATGGCACCTGTTTCCAGGAGAAGGAGTGTTAGATTTCCTTGGTTAAATTCCTGCTACAAGAATAATTTGACCTCCTTAAATCTGACTGCTCTAACAAGCTTTACATGGGACAAGACATTCACATTGACACAAAACGTGGCAATCCACTAGTGGGGACTGGAAGAGGCAATCTTCAGCAAAGACACTGAGCTTCTGCATTGCTATTGGAAAATACTAAGAAGACTCTGAGGTATTGGCTTTAATTTACCATTTCCTGGGATCTACTGTCAGAAAGAATGTGCCACAGCCTATGGCACGCTGCTACAAGGACAAGGTGCATTCAAGCAGCAGCACCACAGGGAAGAAAGATCAATACAGCAATGGCAAGGTGCTGCCTGCGAGGAAGCCCAGCCTTCAGACTTGCCCAGGCAAGTACTTTTACCTGTGGGCAACAACAGCTTTGGGGTGAAAAAAAAATTGAGAAATATTCTAGTCCGAAATGGTGCCATGATGCTTCACGGGAATTGTCATTTGAGTGCTGCCTGCTCTCATGTCCTGATACCAGATGCATGTGTCATGGTGAAGGAGAGTATCAGAGGGGCTAAAAGTCTGATAGGGGATAAAATGCAACTACGGAACCCAGCCCACAGGGAACAGTCATGATTTTCAGCTTCCTTGAGACATCCATATACTGCTTTAAAATCAAAGTATTTGGGGTTCTGGTGCATTCAGATTTTTAAAACAAGTCTAACTATTTCTTTGGAAAAAAAAAAAAAAGAAAAAGGTTTTGTTGAGAACCATTTTTTCAAACCTCCAACATTTTTCAAACCACCTCTTATTTGTTGACTTTCATTGTTAGCTACAAAGTGCGCTTTTGGTTTCCTGAGTTGAAAGGAGTTGGGATGATTCTAAATGGGAGGAAATGCAAAGTTTCAGTGGGTCTTGATCTGCTAAAAATGAAATAATAAATACTGGGCAAAGGACGTCCCTAGAGAATTGTGTTTGTCTCCTTCCATTTTGGAGACGAGTCAAGGAATGACCAAATTTTGTGGACATGGTTATAAATAAACTGGTTAAAAAGAAACTCCACCTGCAGTTTCTCAGTGGGCTGACTAATACTTTCCTACTTCGATTGTTTGCATAGCCCTGCTGCACACGATTAAACAGCTAGTAATGACGCACTCACTGTGTTTTCCCTCAGAGGTAGCCACATCTCATTCTGAGCGTCTTTTTGCAAAATTCATTGCATCCCTTTACCAGGAAGGATGCTTTGCAAATGAAGGCTGCTGCTGCTATGAAATTGGAGCTGCCTCTTCCTAGTGCCATGAACATAAACATCAGCAACTGGATATCTTTCCAAGATAGCTTCCTCTGAAGCAAGAGAGGAGAAAGAAAAAGGGAGACTTAGCATTACTTTATATCAAAGCTAAGTGTAAATATATATTGCTGAATTAACAGTGTGGAGACTGACCATATGCAATCATCTTCCTAAAATAGCCAAGGGAAAGTGTCACAAGTCCAGGCAAATCTTGGCATATGCACAGCGATAATTTTGTAACTATTTGCTGTCCAAAAAGCCAAGATAAATCAACAGGATCTTTGCAATGAGTTTGCTGGATTTTGTTCACGTTTGGGGTACAAATTCAGGAAGCATGTTGTAAAGGAAAAAAGGTGGAGTCAGAATCCAGAAGCATTTGGCTCAGCCTCAAGCAAAGGTTACCATCTGCCGCTAAGCAGTACCCTGGCCCAGCACCACCCAGAATTACTAAATGTAAGCTGCTGCCAGAAGGACTTTTATAGCAGGACCAAACTCCTAGCAGGAACAGGTATGCAGCTGTCCCAACACACAGAGATCACTGAACTACACAGCGTTAAACACTCACTTCTTCTTTCAAGCCAACACTCAGACTTGCCTGTCGTCAGTTCCCACATGATATGTGTTCAGATTTTTTCCTCTCCTGTTGAATTTTGCTAGAAGAGGGATATGACTTAACCTGTTTGGACTGACCCATTAAACAAACATGAGCAGGACATGGTGTGCTAGCAAAGGAGCATGTGTGTTTTCATGAAGGGAACTGACTTCCTGATTTCTTGATGTTGTCACAGGCAAGCCTCTTCAGACATATTTATGCTGGAACAGACTACATTTTTTTCAGCCCCAGAGGGATTACTTTAACAAAATTTGTGTTTCCTCTGGATTCTTTCCTTAACAGCTTGGTTAGAGGAAAAGAGAAAACCAGTCCTTGATCTGCAAGATCTCCTATGTTTGGTCCCAAAGTTTGGGAGTTACTCACCAAAAGGCAGGAAAGCTGCTATGAGCTGCAATGAAGTAGGGGAATGGAACAAGGGTCGGACCCCTGTAAGCTATTAATAGAGATATGAAACAAAAAAAAAACAAAAAAAAAAAAGAAAAGGCTAGTTTTCAGGATATATTTGACATTTTTAAGGGATCAGAGAACAGGAGGGGAAGGAGAGTGGGAGAAAAATGTTGCTTCATATCGTGTCTGTAATGGTCGGTAAGTGTTTCCAGGCCAGAAACTAAATTTAAGCAATATTTTCACCCACTCTGGAGTTTCTAGACTGCATCTCCATTCGAACAGCAGCACAATAAGCTTACTAATTTTTCCCCACAATAAGCACATACCGGGTTTGTCTACTTCCCCATCTCCAACCCATATGAGCATTTACTAACAGAAGTCTTGTTAAACCAAAAGTCTCAATGGCAGTTTTCATGTATATGTGTGTGCACATGGAACACATATACATGTATACAGATGAATTACCAAAATACTATTATAAAGCTAGTGTTCCTTCTCAACACCCCTTCTCTGCCCACCCCACCTCCCTCCCCTTCCCCAGGCCAGCATATTTCAAAACAGACTGGAACTGAAAACTTTCAAGAGCCATCCAGCCCTTGTTAGCACTGCAAACGTCTAGGTGCGTTAACAAGTCCCCGGTCCACCTCTAGGATGCATGTTGACGAACGGCCTCTAGTTCACAATACTGATTCCTTGGATTCAGGGTCTGCTGTACTGGTTGCGTTGGAGACTTGGTTTTTGTGGGTTACCAAAGGCGATGTTTCCCCTTCAGACTTGCTGTTAGCAACTGCTTCTACGTTGACTTCCTTTAGCTCCTGCTCTTTGTCTTTCTTTTCTTTTTCATTCAGGTAATTAAGGATGCCCGCTCCTAGGGCATCCCCTTCCACATTCACAACTGTGGTGGTTCGGTCCCTGGTTAAGATCAGAAACAAAAAACAAAGCAGCATGCTTTTAGCTTAGGAGAGTTACAACACAATAAGGGGAGCTGATTCACCCCTGCTGATCCACTAACATCAGTGGAGCTCGACACGGGAGATGTTGTTACCACAGGTATTTTCCACAGAAGTATCATCACCAATTCAGAACTAAAAATGTGCACCGGAGCTGGTTTAAGGTTGGCCCAACCGTTACTATCAACTGGTTCCGGTCTCTCGGTGGGTTGCAGCAATGGTACTACTCTTTCTCAGGCATCCCTCTTTTCCCAGCCCACCTCCTTCCTCTTTCTCTTCCCCAGGCCAGCATTTTTCAAATGCGAGTTCAGAGCAGAAACTTAGTTTGGGCTCATCCAGAAGGTGAATCAGAGCACCCAGCTCTCTTTTTTAACTATAGAGACTTGTACCTTAACCCAAACACCTACTTAGGGGATCCTTCCAAAAGCAGGCAGAATGACTGTGTTCTCTGGATTTCTTGCTAGTAGCACCTGTCCTAATCTTTGGTCCTACAACACAAAACTGTGTCCCAGGGTCTAACAGAGGAGGTTTATGGGCCATAAAGAAGAACAATTTCTTCATGTGCCGTTTGAGACTTCTGTTAAGTCATTCTGCAGCCTAACTTCAACATGTGCTCAACTTGTAACTGTGGTCCTGTCTGGTAATTAAACAGCTGGCATTAAAACAAGACATGGGACTCCCTCCTTCCCCCTTTTGTTACCACAAGGCTAAGTTCCTTGACTAAAACAACAGTGTTGACCACAGAGGAGTGCTACATATTTTGAAATGAAGGCAGCCAGCACGACACAGGCTGAGGGCAGCCCAGAGTGAAAGCAAGCTTTTCACTCTTGCCTCCAGGCACTTGTTGAGTACAGCTTGTGGAAAGCACAGCTACTGCTTTAATCCTTGAGGAAGATGGGATACAAAGAGCTAGCCACTGCTTTGCCTGTCTCTCCTGTCCTTTGGAGGTGGCTGATCCCCAAGAGGTGACAGCAAGAAAGAGTTTGATGGCCCTAATGAAGCTGAAGATGTAGGAATATGATTGTGCTCCACAGACATGTGTGATGTGGGAAGAGGAAGAGGTAATACTGCTGCCGTGTTCCCCAGCCTCTGGAATTCAACAGTGTTCTCAGGCATCCTAATTTCCACATCTGCTGTGGAAGTACGCCATCTATACAGAGAGGCTGGTGTTCCCAAAAAGCAATGAAGAGGGATAATGTACAGTTTAAACCAGGAACTGCCCAGAAACGCACCAACTGGAAAAAAACCCCAATGGGATTCAGTTCGCTTGACCCATACTGACCAATCATTTCAGCCCACTACCTAACTTCAACCAGATGGCTTGAAAGCAGATTATGCTTTTAAATTATCAGATCACACTTACTTCACTAGCATTTAAACTCTAAGCATGCTGTAATTCATGAGTGCTCAGAGAAGTCCTTCCAGTTTGATTTTCTAGTATTGGAAGAACAGCAGCCAGCCAGGCTTGTTCGAGTAAAAGCGGAGACACCCTTTTCCATGGGGCTCATCTAAGCTATAAGAAGTCACCTGCATGTGACATTCACACTTATGCACTTGTGGCTGGGTCCCCAATACTTAAAGCAAAACAAACTTTCTAGGCTTTCCTTAATCTAATTTAGGGGGTACAGAGGGTAAATTTAGACCTTAACAAGGACATAACTATGCTAAGTGGTGAGATAAGCTCTTCCAAACAGAGCTAGGCAAGGAGATAATCTCTCATGTTTCAAGGAGGGGAATGGCTCTTGGAAAGAAGAGGAGTTGAGCAAAGGTCTGACCTCGTATCTCTTTCCCAGAAGATGGAAAGGAAAGGTGGTAATACTGTGTACTAAACTTGTGACTCCCAGCAGCGTGTTCCAGCTGTGACACTGCGCACAGCTGTGATGAGTGCCACAAACCCTCTGTGTCCCTGCCCTGCCAATGGATGGCACTTCTCTGTGACACTTGTGTTGGTGTTTTGACCAGTCTTGAACTATAAAAATAGTTCAAACAATAGCTGACAACAGCTTCTGATGGAGACTGCTTCCCACATGTGACCAAGAAAGCTTTATATCACTATTCAGACTCAATTTCCTTTTTTCCCCCCTTCCCTCCTAGCGTCCAACTGATTTCCAGCAATATCAACACCTTCTGAACAAACTTTTATCAATCCTTCTAAAGGGAATTGAAACCAGGAAGAAATATGTTTCAGTAAAAGCTGAGTAAAAAAGCTGAAGAGGGATTTTAGCATATTAACTGCTTTAATTGAGAAAGGACCACCTTTTCCATTATCTCTCAAGAGTTACTTGTCCTGTAAGCAGCCATATCTTGTAGGGTTTTATTTTATACTGCGCTACTTTGACTACCCTGCCCCATGCTTCCAGCTGAACATGCTGCATGTCATGCAACAGCAGACACGTGTGGCCTAAAGTACTTACACAATCCAGTCCACCGCTAATATCAAGGAGAGATCGTTGGTCGGAAGTCCAATGGCCTCCAAGATGATAGCGATGGTGAGGACTCCTCCGGCTGGGACCCCGGCTGCACCCACACTGGATGCGGTAGCTGTCACACTGCAAATCAATTTGCATACACGGTTAGCAGGAGCTCCGCAGCACTCCTCTTCTACAGTTACATCACACATTTCCCCGCTATGGGAATTGTAAACAAACTCTACAGCATGGGACACAGATCATTTGCTTCCCAGGCAAACCCTTTCCTGCCTGCTGATGCAAAGGAACGGGTACAGAGCACAGCTGCTCAGCAGGCATCCACAGCAGCTACCAAGGCAATGGCTCTGTGTTTAATACCACTATTGCCTTTTCAGAAAAAAAAACCCAACCAACACAACTATAGCCTTACTAATATATCCATTTCCAAGTCACATATCCGTTCACGTATGCTGAGTACGTTACATCTCCTGGCCCCAAATGTATAAAGGTAAACCCTGCCATGCAGGGTACTGCCCCTTCTCTGTGTATCGCTTGCATTCAAACACAGACCCTAAATCAGGAGCTGGAAACCTGCGGTGCATGTGCTATAGACATGGACCCCACACCTTTTCGTGTGCAGATGTCTACCACTGAGTTTTCCTTGGACTATCACTGCATAATCCTCAGGCCTGTGTTAACATCTGATTCACTAAGAGCACCCAAAAGGCTAATTTGGCAATCTGCCAAGAAAATAATGCCCCAGCCCTGCCTTAAATAGACAAACAATATACTGCGAAATGCAATAAGGAAGGAAATAAAACCTTCACCAGTGAGGGTGAAAAAATGCCAGGAATCAGCCCTAGGAGGCATCTGGTGGATACAGCTATGGCTTCTCAGCACAGTGAGGGGCTACAACTCCTTGTAGGATCCTCACTTAAGGGATTTTGAGGAGGGAAATGAAGAGAATGACACTTCATGGGATATGGGACGTGGGAGGATATTCCAGGCATAGAGGGGAGAGAGTCCTAGAGAAGGAGGCAGGACTGAGGTGGTGGAGGAGATAATGGAGCAAAGCAGTCAGGAGGGGAATGATAATGGATCTGACCTGGGAAGCCAGCAATGTGATGGTAGGAAGGGCAGAGGTAAGCAGGAGCAGTGTCTTCAGTATGAAATTGATACATAAGGAACTGAGGAGCTGGCAGGAGAATTTTCTAAGACATCCAGAGGGGGGAAATCAGGGGTGGCTTTCCGGGTAGAGCAGCATGCCTCAATTACCCAGCTTAACGGTGAGTGGATGGTGGGGGAGTGAGATGATGCTTAAGGAAGGAGAGGAATTTTGTGTGAGAAACAGCTTTAAACAGCTCAAAGTCTGTTTCAGAATTCAATTACTCCTCCCAGGTTCCACCTTTTATTAAATCGAGATTCTGGCAAATCTTATAAAGCTTGAAAGACTCCATCCTTTAATCACCCTATAATTATGTTTCATAGCAGTTTGCAAGCTTTAGGTCAGAGATGTGGAATGCAAACTGCTAGCTATTAACAGAGAGACCACAGGCTTGAATGTGTCTGGGGGCCATAAGGATGTGGTTGCAATAGCAAGCAACTTACAGAATTGTGAAGATTTGCCCAGGGTTGAGGTCGACATTGTTCAGCTGAGCAATAAACACAGCTGCCATGCACTGAAAAATAGCAGCTCCATCCATGTTTACAGTCGCTCCGATAGGAAGGATAAACCTGCTGATCCTCTTGTCGACTCCATTGTTCTCCTCAATACACTTGATCATCGACGGGAGAGTGGCTGAGCTAGAAACAGAGAATAGGGAAAAAAATCAACCCCAAAGCATCAGGGTGCACTGAATGGAAAGTCACTGTCTCATGGCTTTCATGTTTCTAACATGCTGCAGACAGGACTGTCAAGACAATGACGCCATCTTATAGTCCCTCTCTGCCATGATAGCAATGAGGGACCCTCCTTGTTGGTCTGGAGCAGCAGTATTTAATAATCTGCTTCCACCCAGAAATAGCTGATAAGGACTCTAATCTCCCAGAAGCAAGAACTCATGACTTAACACAGTATGCAGCCTAACAGGGCTGTGGAATGATCAAGTCTCAAACCATAAAAATACACCAACAGATGCCTATATAAACACAACAGATGCAACAGCAATCTCTGTTAATGTTGTACCAGTACCTTCTCAAATGAACAGACAAATAATAATTAAAAAAACCCACTGTTGGATTTATTTCTTGCATTATAAATTACATGGTTTTATTCATAAACCCTCTCCTACTTCATGTACTTCAGCTCCTGTGACAGACATGCATCTACTTTTGCAGATGACCTGAAATGATTTTATGTAGTTATGATATCTGATCAGGTGTTTGCCCCTTGAGAAAAGTGTAAATGACATGCTTGATAGTTTGGTTATGACAAATAAGAGCTGATCAGGCCAGATCTTGGAATTCATTAATGTTAAGTCCCTTTAAACTAGCTAATAAGTCTGCTTTTCTCCTGCAAAATTAGTCTAAACTTGTTCCAGATCCTTCTGAACTCGGAGAACTAAACTTCTCAGGACAAAGTCCCTCACTACTGACCCTCACTTTACTGAAAATTGAAAGGACAGCTGGCAGGATCTTTTTAAGGCAACTACTTTCACCTTTCCCCAAAAAAATTTCCAACTCAGCATTATGCTACAGTCCCAGTATTTTGAGGAATTGTTTTCAACAGCTAATTATCAGTATGTGCTGTGCGGCAGGCTGCTGACAGCAGTGAGACTCTCTACGCTCAGAAGTCTCTTTTTGCAATCTCAGGAACAATATTCACACCTAAACCTCAACACAGTTTGGTGTTGGGATATAACCAGTTTACAGTGACAAATATAACCAGGCTATAATCCCAAAAGAAGCACAGAAACCCACCTGGAGCAAGTGGCAAAAGCAGTGGCAAGTGGTGTAATAAGTCCTAAGAGAAAACGATACGGATTTTGACGTGTGGATGCAAAATAAATAAGCGGCAGAATGATTCCTCCATGGATGAAGTGGCCCAGAATAGAGGCGAAGATGTATTTTCCCAGACTGGTCACCAGAAGCACAATATCTTCCATTTCCACAATCTTGCTCCCAACAAGGAACATAATGCCAATAGGTACATACCTGTGTAAAAAAATACTGCCTGTCATTAAGTACAAACAAAAAGCCTTGAAAAATATGCCATCTTCTGTCCTGGAGATAATATCCTTCTAAAGGATACGCTGCTCCTACTGAAGGGTAGCGCCTTATTCACCACACACTCAGGCTAAGCAAATTTGGAAGGCCTCTCTAACACTCTTGCTTGTTGGAAGGCATGCAGTCAAACTGAAAAAATCTCTGTTTGCCTAGGCCCTCAAAGACACAGGTAGGAGAGTGCCGAAGGGAAGCCAAGTGGGAAGCAGAAATGCTGGCAGAAGCTATCAATCAGGACAAGACACCGGTGGGGAGTTTTAGTCCATCAGGGAGAAAGGCAGGCAAAGACCTAAAGCTAAAGTCACTGTTGAAGGGACAGCAGACGGTAAGAAAGAAAAAGGAGCAGTATCATGTCACTGGAGCAGAGAAAGGGGTGGAAGAGTAGGATCTTACACACGTGGTGCCTACCAGAAGTATGAAGTTAGGTCATTAAAATGGTAGACATACTGGGTGCCAACACATTCAGTGTAGGAAAGTAAAAGCTATGCCCATACCAGAGAGCTCAGCTAACAGCTGCTGATGCATGTGCCAAAGATAGCAGTTAACTCTGCTATTTGCCTACAAAAGACTAAGTTAAATGATCAGGCTTCCAGAGTTTCCCTCAAGCCAACAGCCACGTACACGTACATTCCCATGCCTCCTATCTAGAAACGTGCCACGTCTTAGGACATCAGCATTTGTTTGAGGTTTCCTTTGTCAGGAACACTTGGAGCTGCTCCAGAGGAAAGGCCACCTGCGGGCCACAGCCACACCTCTGGTTCCAGTAGTGCAGCTGGGAACAGTCCTGAAAAGACAGAATTGCCCTTGCACCTACAGCACAACAGGTACTAAATGAACTGCAGGAATCACTTCAGGGTCAGTTCTTCCAAAGCTCTACTTGGGATGTCTGTGTCCCAGTATCTCTGCTGATGCTGTCCATGCTCCATCCATTTCTGCTTCCAAGATAAAGAAATACTAAAAGATCACCCAACTCTCCAAAACTCTGCCCCAGGCACACGTGACTACAAAAGATCTGCCTGTACATCTCAGGAATAAAGAATGTTTTTTCTCCCACTCTCCCCTCCAATCCAATGTCCCCGTTCAAAGAAGCTGATCTGTGGAGTCAGGACAAACTTCAGAAGGTTTGGTTAAGCATGCAAAGGTTTGGAAAGGTGGGCAAGCCTTAAGGTTGCCCAGATCACTCACTTCTTCCTAGCCTGCCTCTCCCTCAGTGGTTCTGCAGCTCCTCTGTTCTGTGCAGAGAGCACCTCCTTATGTCCCAGATCAATGTGAGCATCCTCTCTCTGTCCTCCCTTGGGCAAATCTCTAGGCGGGCCTGTTGAACCTTCCTCACTTAGCCTCTGCCAATTCTGCGACATACTGCCTTTGAACTATGTTTCTGAGCACCCCAATTAGCCAGGTCTAGCTGAGCCCCGGTCCTGCTAAGCTCTGCAAACATGAACACTGGATTCAGAGCTGAGACTGGATCCCTCCCCTTGAAGAGGGAGGCTGGAGAGGAAGGAGCTGAAAGTTGAGATCAAAGTGCTGCTAAACACGAGAGCAGCTGTTGAATGGGACTAGACACGAGCTCAAGCTACCTTGTCTCTTAGTAGTATGATTTCACCCATTCCAAAGTATCCTTTGGGAAGTACATACAGCTTGACAGATTTTGAATAAATACCAGGATGACACAAGAGCCTTAAGGAAGGAAAGAGAACAAGTAAGGGCTACAGTGCACTACAGTGTTAAGAGTCAGCTGTAGTCCCCATAATCCACAAAGTAAAGGATTATATACCGATTGGCTTGAAGTGTTAGCACTGTAATCAGCTGAATACAAGAACTGCCTCTTAGCAGTATTCAGTGTCCAAGGAATTACACTCAAGACTGGAAAACTTAAGCTGCTTTGAGACTTTGAATTTTTCAATCCCTTATGACAGCAAATAAGACTGAGATCTGCCTGTGTAAAACCAGGTGTTTTGTTAAAACCTTTCTACTTCTTAGAGGGAGGAAAATAGTAGGAATGAAAAATGCAGAATGAGGGGAGAAAAAATAGCTCTGCTAAGGTAAGCTTATAGCTTTTCCAACAGCTTTGGAAAGGGAGTGAGAAATGTCCCACTAATAATTTGTTAGCTAGCTGTCCTCATGAATATTTTTATTTTTGCATGTGAGGTATTAGTACTGTTGGTTTCACAGGAGCAGCCTAGACCCATCCAGCTGCACAAGAACAGCATGATACTGCTCTGAGGCGCAGATTCATCCCACCTGACAGAAAACCCTGTCAGGAGGCTGGTCCTACCCCAGCTTAGGTGGCCTGAACTGCTCTCTAGAGGTGCCTGCCTCCTCCAATGCTGGTTTCCTGCCTAGTAAGAAAGTTCAGTGCGCTCCAGTTCCTAACACACAGACTTTTTTTGGTGCCAAAAGCTTTGTGAGATTGGTCAGAGCAACATTCACCCCATAAACATGTCTGGACTCCAGGGAAGTAAGTGAAAGAATGGATTTGTTCATTAATAGGCAGGAGACCAAATAAACAATCAACTTTAGGAAATACCTACTCTCAGGGATGTGAAATGGAAAAAAGAAGCATCTCCAGAGAAACAAGCACAAATAAGAAACAGTTGATCGCTCTTGCTAGTAACATTAGTTCCTGCTTCACCCAAGAAAATGAAAGAGATTGTAGAAGAGGAACAGAGATTTAAAGATCCAATGTATAACTCAGGCTCTGCTGATAACAATGACGAAACACTCAATAGCCAGCACTGCTGTCTCAGTAGGATGCAGAGCATTGCCCTGGAGACTGTTCCTCCCTTCTGTACAAAGGGACGTAGGTTCCCATCACCCTTTGATGCAAGTGGACAGGTGGGGCTCTGTATTCATGCACTCAACAGGGTTTCTCTCAAACCAATGCCAGTGAATGGGCTATCTTCTGATCTCCTCGGATATCTTTCAGGTGAGTACAAGTAACCTTTTGACCAGCAGAAAAATCAAGGCATGAAACTACAAGTATGATTTTAGTTACGCACTGCATTTGCAAGTGCACTCCAAGCACAAACATCCCTGGCCTTCACATGACCATATTCCTCACTTGCTCACATCTCCTTTATTCATTCAAAGCCAGTGCCTTTAGGCACATGATGGCAGCTAGCCATGAGCTTATGCTGCTTTGAAACAGAAAGCCGCCTTTCCACTAATTAATCAAAAAGGAATCCTGGAGACGATTTTTAAGCAACCCTCTGAAGTGTTCCAGACTGATAACCTTAAGCTATGCGTGACTGTCTAACTACAGGGCACAAGCAAGAAAAAAAGACCCCAACGTGTGACACCATGACATTCACTTTTGCTGTGATGAGGGATCTGGTAGGAAAAAGCTGGAGAGATGGATAAATGGTGAGACTCCTGAACTGAGCGTAGTATGGTACTGCAGATGCATCTGCAGTCACACACTTACCACATAATCCAGGAAACCAAGACCATAGTTGCCTCATTGAATGAATTAAAGAAGCGAATCAGATCTTCCCCTTCCTGGCCAAGCTTTTTCAGTGCCACTCCTAAAATCAGAGCGAACAGCACCAGTCCCAGGATATTCATCCCTTCAATCTCAGTACCGACAGGGATCTGTAGAGGCAAAAAAAGAAGGCTTGTTAGATGCGAGACCGGCACAAAACCCAACAAAGGGGTCACCTCATTTTGTTGCTGCCCCATTGATCTGAAATCAACAAGCAGAATCTATTTTGGGAAGGAAGAACCTATTTTGTTGAAGGAAACCAAACAAGATCTGTATGGAGTCCAGTTACAAACCTCCCTAGTTATGAGCTGGCATGGATTCACTGGAGAAGGAAAGGGCCTGCCACCACCTCCCCTCACGCCCTTCGATATGATACGTGTGCTCTGAGTCACCTGAACAGGAAACCTCCCCAGTTTACTCAGGACAAGCTGCACTGCAGATGCAAAACAGCACGGGCACCGATGACACGTGTGGTTAAAAGACTGAAATGTTCCTCCCTGTTTCCCCATGAGGGAAGATGGGTGTGGGAGAGACCGCAGGTATAAATGGCAGATACTGGTGATATTGCCTTCCTAGCTCTGCTTATTTCCACCAAGCATCATTCACTGTCGGCACTACGATATTCTACCGCCTAAACAAATCATACCTGCCAGAGGCTTGCAGCGGTCTGGCCCCAAACATGCTCTTATTTCCTGACACCTCTGATGGGAATCTGCTCTCAGAAACTGCCAGCTCCATCACTTTAGTGCAATATTTATACCAAGGTGAAAACCACGAGAAAACAACCGATGTTATGAAGCAGAAAGGGGGGAGGGGGCAGAGAAAGGTAGCAAATCTTGGAAACCTACTCATTCATCTGTCCACATCAGCCGTGGGAGATACAGAGAGAACAGAAGGAATACCCGTTCCCTGTCTCAGAAATCATGTGGCTGCATGGTAAAAGTAAGAGGATAAAAACAGGATCCACCTATTGACAAAAACTAGTCTACTCACAAGTCTGCTCTGCTGGTCCTTCACTGTTTGTTTCTCAAAAACAACTGGAGCTTGTTTGGCAATGTAGTATCACACGAACTGAATGAGTGTTCTTGTGGCTATGTAAAAATATAATTGTTTTGACAAACTGGTTTTTTTCCCCCCCAGCTTGGCAGTACAAGCTCAACATGTCAAATTGTTGTTTTAATTGGAAGGGCTTCTAAAACAGCTTAGGTTTGTGTACAAGTTTTGGCCTCTGGCTAGTTTAAGTAGACACTAGCTCAACACTAGGAAAGAAAAATATATTCTGAGCTACAAGCTTGAAATGAATATTGACTAAAGAACTCGGGATACTGATCTGCTAAATCTGATAAAACCAGCCTGCTTGAAATGATATTTTTGCTGGAAGCATACTGCTGAACTGGACTGTCTCTTAGTGGCAGGTGGAAACAAAGTACTGCAGGGAAGGGGATAAAACATAAATTATACACAAAAGCATGAAAGCTAAACTGCTGTTTACAGAAGTGTTTACAAACAATGAAGGTTCTGGCTTTTTTTCTTTGCTAGCTACAAAATAATTAGATATAGGATCTCCAATTTTTTATGGTAGTTGCTTGTTCAGGGCTAAGTTGTCAGTATTTATTTGATTTCCGATTGAAAGAACCGAAAACACGGACAGGATATTAAGAATGGGGCACAGTGTATCTCCAGAGATGTCTGAAGAAATGTGCCATTTTGTCCACACACAGTAACACTTTTCTGTCTGGATAGTTTTGTCTATATTCTGTTTTGTGTGCCTGAAAGCCCTGAACTCTTCTGTGGTTAGAAAAGTTAGACAAAAAAAATGACACCCTCCTATTATTGAATAAACTGTCCGTGTACATGGCATGCACACATTTTTCTATTTTTCACTTCTGTTGGTAAAACATGACTCTAGGGTAGGAGATAAGGTATACCATAAAGGTGAAGGGAATCTAACAAAGTTTCAGTGACAATTTGTCAGTAACAACATACAAATCGATGTACAAGTCTCAAATTTTATGACTAATTTATTAGCAGGAAGAAAGTAAATGAGTAGTAAAATAATGCTGCCATGTCATTTCATCAAAACCAAAGCTTTCTCTGGGAAATGTCAACTTGGGAAAAACGTGAACATTTGTACACCAGAAAAAAAACACTTAACTTCATTCACATGGAGTGAATGCAACACTTTTTCATTTTGACACAACTTTTCACCTTGTTGGTTTTTTTTTTTCAACTCATTATTTTATAATATAGCATCTTATATCGAGTTCATTTGATACAAGGCTAATATGAAAAGTTCAGCTTGGAACAGAATTTTACCATAACGGGCCCAAGCTTTTTCCACAAAAAAAAAATCCTAAAAACACTGAATGCTCTTTTGTTTTGGTTCTCAGTCAGAAAAAAATAGATATCAAACTTCGCTGTGGAACAGAAATTCAGTGTTTCAAGCTGCTGAAAGTGCCCAGCATCCTGACCTGGATATTATTGGGAGGGAATTTCATTATACTACTATATACTGATGTTTTGCAAAGCACCTCTGCCCTTTAAACTCCTTCTACTGGAGATTTGCTTCTCAACTCATTAAATGCAGTAGTGTGAGCCTGAAGCCCAGCAACCCACCACCGTTCAGGCTTCTCAAAGACCTAGTCTCAGGAACGAGTCAGAAGTGTACTGAATCTGCAAGAAGACTGCTCAGCCTCCCAGCAGCTGTGTAGGGCACACAGGGTCACAGAGCAGGACGGAGCTTGGGAGGCACACAGGAGAACCAGGGCCAGAGCTCCTAGTGCTTAATTTGGAAGGTCACTTCCCTGACTAGAGAAGTCCAGGGTTCTTCTAGGCCATTCAATCCCCACAAGCATCCATTGCTCCACCTTCTTCAGAGCCATGGGTGCCAAAGCTGTTCTTGGCAAGCTAGGGGAGGGCAAGAGATAGTAGCATCTCCAGTTAGCTACAGCCAGGGCACAGGTGGCTTCTCACCTTTCATCTTAACCTTCATGGTGGCCTACTGCGCACAAATTGGCCAATTCTCCTCAAACTCCCCTATACCTCTCCAGAATGACAATACATGGAGTTTAGTCTTCTTCCACCCTCGGAGATGTCTCTCTCCACCTTGCTCCTGGCATTGCAATCACTGCTGCTGCTGTTCTCCAAGTGCTTACACTTACTAGTCCTTCAAGCCTAGCTCTTGTGATCTGGGGACCTGTGAATTATTGGTGACCAGAGGGAGGACTCTGTGCACAGCCACCAAAAACTTCTTAGCTGTTTCTTTCTCTCTATTCACTGTCATCCTGCCACCCCTTTCAGGTCTTTCTCTTTCTCTCTCTTGAGCCAATTTCTTTACAACACACAACATTCACCATCACTGCAGATGTAGGCAGAAGGTGCATCATTTGCACGAAGTAGTAACTTACTGCAGGAAATCGCTCCCTGCAAATCAAGGGGACAATCTGCAGTGTTCAGGGAATTTCAACTCCTTGCAGCACAACATGGAAAGAGTCCAGCAGTAAATCCTCAGCGGAAGATCCTCTCAGTCCCAGGCTCTAAAACTGGCAGATGCTGAACGGCCTTTTTGTACTCTAACAGAAGACTGCATCACCCCAAAGGAGCTGCCAAACCAAGCAGCATTGTGGACACCAAACAAAAACAGCTTTAATGAGAGCTTTGTTCCTGGATAAACTACGGGACGCATTATTGTTTGCTTGAAATTATGTGTTCTGGTAGGAAGATTCATGGAGCTTTTCTGGTCCTTGAATCTCTCTGAAGATCCTATTGTTTTTTAGCTCTTGAAACAAAATGCTTATCAAGGAAACAACTGCTGACATTGAGCTGTCCCAGTAGTAGGTGGCTAAAAAGAAAATGCAGCCATGTCATGTGAGGAAGAAGAGCAATCACCGGTTTGTGTATTTTTACTGCTGCCACAAGAGGAACTCAGAGTCCCCCACAGCCTCCCTGTGCTGCAGATGGGGAACTGAGATAGTCCGTGCCCCAGGAAGCCTTGCTGCCGAAGAGACAGAGAGGATGCAGCCATAAAAGCTAGGTAAACACAAGGGGAGCATGTGAAACAACAAAAAGGACGAGGCTGAGCAGACTTCTACGTGCCCCACTATTCATATCACCAGCCAGAGAAGACAAGGCCTATTAACCAGTGGGGGGTAAAAATATAATCAATGGAAAATTTTGCTCTACACTATTAATGTGGAAAGTAGAAGGAAAACATTTCTCCTCTTCAATCAAATATTCTGCTGATGAAAGAAAACATTAGATAGGAATATCACCTTGTTTCCCTGGAACCCAACTTCTATTGCTATGATATTTATACTACGTATTATCCAAAAAATCATCCTCTTCCTTTCCAAACTTAACCCTCATCTATCCATAAATAACATGGTCAGACCAGTACTGAAACTGAGCTAACAAAACTGAGATGATGCTTTCTTTTTATTTGATCTGCTCTTCCCTAGAGACGTCTTCTGGAATTAAAGCAGCTCAGCTCTGGTTTCACTCCAACAACTGAAGAAAAGTTTTGGAAAAGTAATAGCAGAAATAACCTTTACATCATAACCGCTGGCAAAAACAGGCACTGGTGACAAATTCAGAATATTTTTTCTGATATTGCATCAAACAGGAGTCTGATAAGTCTGATAAAGGAAAGAAGAAAACTGAAAAAGAATCTCACACTTTAAATTGCCGAAAGATGCATTCTTATCTCTTGAGGAAGAGTGATGGCTTTGAACAAGCATTAAAAAAGTACTTGACGGCCAAGCCTATGTCCAATGGATATGGTTGGCCCTGATCCGTGCTTTGTTGCCAAGGAGCCCCTATCAAACCTGACACTGAAGATGAATAAGAAGAGTCTCATTCACCCTTCATTTACTCCTGCTTAAATGAAGAATAACTAACTCTACACTCTGTGAGCAAACACACATGTCTAAGTGCACATTGTTACAGCCTTTCATATTGAACTTGGTTTTTAGCAGCACGAGGCTGCACGGACATGTACTGCCTGAGGATATAATGGCATGAGAAGAGAAAGTGCTCTTTTGGGATGACATAGCTCTTCTGCAGTCATTGCCACGCAATGCCAGATGGGATGAGTGCAGATCTGGGCTAATGCAATCTTACAGGCCCGGGCAGAGCCAGGGCAGATGGGGCTGCCTTCTTCCCCAGTGAAACCGCTCACCGTGTGATAGCAGGCTTCTAGGCAAGGGCTGACTTTTCCCCTGCTCAGTTCTTGTTCCATCCAAGTCACCTGTCACCCTACCTCCAGGGCTGATGAAAGTTCAGCCCGTCAGCCGAAAGCAGAGTTCAGAAACACACTGTTCTGCATCACCTGCTCACGCACCATGCATGGCGAGGAGAAGGTAATGAGGCCAGTACTTCCTGCGCTCAGGGACACGCTTCAGAGTCCCTCTGGATGAGCATAAACTGCTTTTTCCTCGATGGTTTTACAAACTGGTGGGCAAGACCCAGTTAAGCCCTTCCATGACAAATACAAACATTACAAGTCTCTTGCCCTAGGGGCATTCAAATCATACTAAAAATATAGTAACCCAACATCCGATACTGATCTCAGATAGTCAGAGTGAGCCTGAGAAATAGAAAATAACCCCGAAAGTAATTTCCAGTCTCAGACCTGTCTCCCCAAAATCCCATGAAAGCACATGAGATACTTCATTTGGAGTGAGGTGACACATCGCAGGCTGGGATACTGGGTCTGTTTCATAGCATGCTGCCTGTAAGACAACGGTAATTATTGCTGGACCTGCAATATGTTGGCTCTGGCCAATAATAAAGATGTTTGATAGCCCCATGCTGCACAAGAGATGCCACTCAACGGGATATAGAGCATCTCTGGAAGTCCTATGAGCTACATATGGAAGATAACACTCTCTACCTTAGCTACACCTGCAAATTAGTTTCCTTTTTGACACCATTGCAATAGCAGCCTATTTGTAATGTTCTGTCTATAATTTTTACTCCTTCAGACCACTTGTAGCTGCTTCAAACAAAATTTCAGCAGCATGATAACAAGAAAAAATTCTCAACTAACCTCTCTTTTTTTTTTTTTTTTTTTTTTTTTTTTTTAAGAGCCTTGGGTAGTGGAAAAAAGCTCATTCTCTCCAAACTGTTAATGAAGAGTAAGGTTTAAGGGACATATTCAGCCAGCCTGATTGCTATTTAATTCCAAGTCTACAGAAAGTTATTTGGAAACATTAGGCAGAGTGACTAATCAAAATTTAAATCAAGTGAGACTAGGTCTAAGAAAGCATGGCCTAAAAATAAGGTCTCAAGAGTCAGATCAGTTGAGCCCAACTCTCCTATTCATCGTAGCTTTCTTGTGTGGCTGTTGGGTAACTCATCTGGCTCGTGTGTGTGTCTCAGTTCCAGGCAAAGAAAAGTACTTGTTTCTTTCCAATGACTGCTGGAAAGGATTAAAGACTGTGGAGTAGTCAAATATTACCGTTGACAAGGGTTTGTATAAAAACCTAAGAAGTGACCTTACCTTTTCCCACGTGACATTTCCAGAGGTAGTGTTTCTGAGCAGCATCTTATATTCTGTCGCATACTGCAGGTAAGAAAAAACACAAACAAAACCACAACGTTTGCTGATCAGATCATCAATATGACCATATCATCTAGCATTTCACAAGGAGATTACTGTTAGGAAGACTTTTTCTGGAGACCATACTGTGGAGGCTAACGAGCCTTTCCTATGCAAGAAAAGGGAGTGACAGCATATGCAGCTCCTTCCCCATGTGGCAACAGAGAAGTGCTCTGTGACCCCCTGAGCTCCCAGGTTTGGGCAGCAGCCAAGGAATTCCCCTCTCCTCCACCCTGCTATTGCTCACACACAACGCTGTTGCACTGGCTCCTGCAGAAGGCAAGTGGCGCTTGCACTGTTTCACTGTTAGAAATGGTGAGGCAGGCACTAAAATTGTCAGTAAAATACCCAAAATCTAGGGCAACAGTTTACTTTGATAAATAAGCTAGACACCTCGCAAAAGCAGGGCACTTCTTTGGGCTTGTTTTCTTTAGATATAAAATAGGGGAAAGAAAAGCTTATGTACTTGCCAATTACCTGTGACAACAGCAGCGGAGAGGACAGGAGGACTTCTTTATTTCATCCCTGAACATACAGAACCCTGACACTCGAGGTATCACAGAATATCCTTTTCTTAATGATACTTTTGTACTGCTCCTGTTCTTATTTATGGCATATTGACTTGTACTGTATTATATATACACTCAAAATGGAACTTGATTTCAAGAGTTTCACCTTGGTTTTGATACAAAAGCAAACCCACAGAATACCATGAAGGCAAAAACTATTATTCTGCTCCTGTATCGTAAAGAATCACTCTGCCCCATAGCAATATTCTCAACGGTGTCTATCCTGACATCTAAAATTAGCAATAAGAACCAAATCAAAGTCTTCTTGGAGCCCTAGAGCTCCTGTCCCTCAGTTTAAACCACACTATGTTCTGGTGCCAGTTATCATCCTACCACACTTAGTCCTCTGTCGGAAGAGAAGCCAGGCTGAGCAACTAATCCAGCAAAGGATACAATGGAAAAATACTGAATAAAAGCATCAGGCAACAGGTAATGCTTACACACATGGGAGCCTAAAAGTCTTTAGCCTTGTCTGTTCTGAGCCCAGCTCCAAACTACATACCCAAGGGTTTCCCAGCTAGCTCCTGCAAAGTGATAAGCAGCCTGGCACAAAGCAGAGTTGCCATTGCTGCCCAACACGGCACCCAAAGTATAAAAGTTTAAAAAACATTTTTGGTGGAGGTACAAAGCATAGGCTATGAATATGCTTTTGTTTGAGGAGTATTTTTCAAAATCAAACTGTTTGCCATGGAAGTTGTATGTCTGATTACATCAGGTGCTTTTAAAAATCCCACCTACTATAAGTAAATCAACTTTTGGTATTTTCTACACCATCTTTCTAGTCCTTTTTCAAAAAAGAGCAGTCGCTTTGTCTGTCTGTGCACTGTAGCTCATGTCCAAAGTCCACACAATCTTACCGTTCGGAAAGCTGCAGCAACAAGATTTGCAGGAAAGAGGTTTCTGTAAAATACAAACAAGAAAATTAAATATTTCTTGTAGAACTTCTAAAATGAACGCACCAAGGTATTTTACTTTCAGAAACTGCATTCCTCCCGCAAAGGCAAGCACATTGGCATTAGTGAGGTGCGTACTACAGAAGATACTCTGGCAGCACAGAGCAGATGTCTTGCTATGTCTCCAGAGGTGTGAATGCCGTCTTCTTTTGCTCACATAAAAAGGTCCCTGCTTGTCTGCCACACCTAACCATGTGGGTAGGGACACCAAAGGCAGTCAGACACGATGCTAGTTACACACACCAGTGGCTACAGAAACTGGCTTAGCCACACCAGCTGCAGCAACAGCTTATGGCCTCCAGGGTCAGGCAGGAGTTTTTAACAGGACTCATGTGATTACATTTTGCTCACAGCATCAACGTGAAGGACAATCCAATCAGCAAAATCCACTTAAGAGAACGGCTTAGCCCTTCAACACAACAAGGTCAGCTTCCCTGAACACCAAGGTAAAGCAGAACAATGTCACGAGCCAGAGTTGTCTGCAAGGGCTTAAATGGTTAAACAGCCCAGATGAAAGTAGGGGCAACTCATATGGAAAGTTGCAACATCTGAATTCGGTCATGCCTTCATACAGAAATGCAAATCGAGCATCAGGTTTGTGCAGAGAGGACAGCATGCAAGGTGACGTACACTTCTACTGGGCATCCAGTATATATGTGAATCTATGAAGCAACAAGGACAGCAAAAATGGTTAACTGGACCATGTAAGGAAAAAATTGCTTCTTGTTGTATTTTATAGTTGTTTTTAATGCTACACTTCCTTTCTCCCCTTATGGTGGGCAAAGAGCATGTGTTCCCCTAGCCAAATGGCAGCTTTTTTTGCTGTGTCAGAAAGCAAAATAGGAATAAAAGCTGATCTCTGGGGTCACGACAGGACCCTAGCTGGCGAGGGCAGGAAGGCTAGGAGTACGAGCTGAAAACACTGCCAGCCGAATGCACCAAGGAGGCATGGCAACTCTTACTGTAAGGAAACAAAAGACCTTACCCAGAGCCAGTTAACTGTGGCAAAAAACATTTGGGTAGCTGCTCCCCATCCTCTGCTCCTTGCGCTGCTCCGAGGAAGCTGCAGCTACCTCCAGGCTGTGCCCTGCTAACCTCCCCCCAGTTTTTGCCATAGTTACCCTGGCAAACACGATTTTAAACCAGGCTTTCAGTTGTGATCATTCCATGACTGACATGGAAAGTGCGAATTCAAACCACAGCACGAAATGGAGCGGCAGAGTCAAATCTTTGAAAGCAAGAGGGAGATTAAGATATGGCACAGATAAGGACTTTGGTCTTTTCCATCGCGTAGCTCCATTATCCTGCCACACAGTGAGGGTTTTCCCACAGCCTTGACAGCAATGTAAAGTACACGGACCTTCATCAAACAAGTGGCTGCTGTGAACTACCTCAGCCTCTCTCTCTGTTGCATTACAAGTGTATTAGGAGGCAGCTGCAAAAGCCAAATTGCTGTAAGAATAATTTGGCTTCTGGAGTCTACGTTCCACTGAGCATGAAAGAAACAGCAACTTTTTCTCCTTAAAATTTGACAGTACAGCTGCCTGTCTGAAAGTAGGAGAGAGAGCTCTAACTATGCAAAGATGCTTAAGAATTAGTCGAATAAGATCAATGGGACAGCTAACATGCATCAATTCTTGCACAGCTGGAACTTTCCATAAAAACCTCATGTAAAGTAAAAGTAAACTTACTTTTATCAGGAGTAAAACATCACATATACAAATGGGCCCAGCTCAGTGCACAGTTTTAACTAAAGAAAGAAAACATGCTGTTGGGAAAATAAGGATATTTCATTTCAAGTTTTCATAGCAGGATGATTACTTTTTTAAAAAAAGAATTGACTGGATTTTGAAGAAGCAAAGAGATGAAAAAAGACTGAAAACCAACCAGAAATCAAATTACTTTTTTTTTTTTTTTTAAATCAGCTTTTCCATCCTGACGAAACAAAACCAAAGGAAGCAATCCTAAAGCCTAAACAATATGGTTCTCCAATGTTTAAATGTGGCCGAGAAACCAAACCCTCCATAATTTACACAGTATGTCAGGCATGGGCCTCAGTAATTAAACACTAACTTAACTCCAAGCATATACTTAAAGCACATACTTGAGTGATGCCAGCAGCCTTGCTACAGCAAGGCAAGGGGCAGGTTCTTGCTTCAAGTACGAATAGCACTAAAGCTATTCAAATACGAGCATATAGCAGTCATTCTTCTTTATCCCTAGAGCACCGGTCGCAGGACTTGACTCTGAGGACAGCAAAGAGCATTTTTGACAATCTACAAAATTTGGATCTCAGTTCAGCAGCTCAGAAGGAGCTGTGTGTTTTGTTCAATCCAACTTTGAAGTACACCTGGCTGCAAAGTCACAACAACATGTAAAAAAGTGTTTTGCCCCTCTTTGTTTCAAATCCTGAAGTTTAAGAACAAAACGTGTTGGGTCATAAAAAGCAATCAAGAAATAAAAGGCTTATCTTAGAGGCACGAGTTCTGCACAGACTACACTCATCGCTCACATAAGATCAGTCAGCGTGCAAATTAAATTAAGCTTTAATTACAGGTGGATTTGTGCAAGAACACCACACCAGTGCCTAAAGCCGTGTGCTCCAGGGAGAGCCAAAAGCTGGCTGGTGACCTGCCTGGGCTCATCATGTGCTTGTGCCTGCAGGCTTTGCTCATCATGCGTGGCGAGGCAAAGTTCACCCACCGCAGAAATCCAAACCCAGCTCTCTCCCTGCGAGCCAGCATTCGCCGTGTCCCCAAGCCCAAGCGGAGGAGTCACACAGGGAAGCGCAAACATCCCTCCTGTCCGGGGATGGGGATCATCAGCGAACAGAAAGGCTGATGAGCTGGGTAATTGGGCATGCAAATTAAATGTGGATGTCTGCCAGTTGGTTTTTCCACGCAGACCAAATCTTGAGAAGGTTTTTTTGCTTTGAAAGCCCGTACCAGATATGACTGTGGAGTTTAAAGAAATCACCACAGTTATATCACCGGATTGCTGACTATTGCTGCTGTTTCTAATGGCCCCATCCCTGCCACTGCTATGCCCCATGCTAGAGAACATGGTTGCCTTTTCGAAGCAGATGTGGGCTATTACAAGAGCACACCGCTGAGGAAACCCTGAGTCTGGGTGATAAGGAGCCCAGCACAGGGGTCTGGGATCAGGCAGCCTTGGCCCCGTGATGCAGAAAGACAAAACTTGCTGTATGTGGCAAGAATGAGACGAGCCAGCGATGCATGACATTACGGCAGGGGGACAGACATGCTGCATGCACCCCAGGTGCTCCACTGCCGCCGGGACTTTGCTCCACGGAGAGGGATGGATTACCCACACACGGACCCAACTGCCTTTGTGGCATAAAGGTGAAGTAGGCGGTACAGAAAGACTTTACTCCCCTCGCCAAGCGCCAGGCAGGAAAGTCTCTCTCTGCCTGTTACAAGTCGTGCAGACAACCCCCCCCCCAAAAATTATCAGAAATCCATCGGACAGCTGTCAAGAGTGACAGCTGTGTCCTGGGGCTGGAGCGGCAGGGGGGGAGCGGCAGCTGGGCTGAGCCAGGAAACCTTCCACGTACCGCGCAACACACAATGTGAGAAAGCACCCGTCCCGGACCCTCTTAAAATAGGAGCCAGAAAGCAGCAGCACCAAGGGAGGGAGTTTCAGGGTTCGAGTACTTTCTGTTTGAATACTGTAGTCATCACACCATCTCCCCATGCACAGCCAGATAAATGCAGCTTTTTCCTTTTTCCCAGGGAAGAGCTGCTCCCACCAGGCAGAAAGGGACCATTACTCCTCTAA